CACACACACACATATATATATATATATACATGTCTGTGTGGTGGGTGTGCTTCTGCCGCTTCTCTAGCGTCTCTCTTCTCTCGGCGTGGTTTGACAGTAGTGCCCACCACGTCGTCTTCTTTCGTTGCGGCAAGTCTGATCCTTGTAACACACAACAAGACAAAAAAAAGTGTCCTCTTCAGTCACATTTGAGAAGTGTATATAGTTGCAACATAATTATATATTGCTCTCAATCGAGGGTGGGCTCTCATACAGGTATGATGATACGGCAATGCGTTATTGTCACCGTCACGACAGTGGCAAGTGTGGTGTGGTGGTTCTACGGCATCGTGCCGCTCGCCGTGCTTCTCGTCGCCTGTGCGTGTGTGTGGGACAAGGCGTTTGGGATTTTTCTCATGGCGGGCCCGCTCACGTCACGACAAGTACCGCCGGCACCGATCGCATACTGCCAGCAGCTGTCGGCGCTGCAGCTGAGCAAGGCGTACAGCACGGGCGAGCTGCGCTGCGAGGATGTGGTGCGAACGTACATTGATCACATCAAGCGTGTCAACCCGTATATTAACGCGATGGTCTTCGAGTGCTTCGACGAGGCGATTGCAGCCGCAATTAAGGCAGACACTGTGTGGGAGGCGTGGCGCAGAAACCGCACAAAGCCGGCGCCGAGTTGGCTGCTGGGCGTGCCGTGCACTGTGAAGGAGTGCATGAGCGTCATTGGCTGCCCAAACACAAGCGGCCACCCGCAGCGGCGTCACATGATCGCACAAAGTGACAGCCCAGTGGTAAAGAATTTCCGTGACGCCGGTGCGGTCATCCTTGGCGTCACCAACACAAGCGAGTTGTGCATGTGGTACGAGAGCTCGAACCGCCTGTACGGCATCTCCTGCAACCCGTACGACACGCGCTGCCTCGTGGGCGGCAGCAGCGGCGGCGAGGGGGCGGCGGCCGGCGCCGTCTTCTCCACATTCAGCATCGGCAGCGATATTGGCGGCTCGATACGGATGCCCGCCTTCTTCAACGGCGTCTTTGGCCACAAGGCGAGCCCGCACTACATCAGCAACCGCGGCCAGCACCCCGCCCCGCGCACGTCCGCCCACCACTACATGGCGACAGGCCCTATCACGCGCTTCGCGGAGGACATCGCCCCGCTGTGCCACATCGCCGCGCGTGGCGGATTTCTCGAGGACCCAGCGAAGTACCCGCCACGCGCGCCGCTGCGGGAGATTCCGCAGATCAGCAGGCACAATCCGATTCGCGTCTTTGCACTGGAGGACTTTGGCATTCATGGAGTCTGCACGTCCAGGTCGCAGATCCAGGCTGTGCAGCTGGCAGCGCGAAGTATGGAGGAGCGCTACGGTGCGCATGTGGTGTACATCAATATGCGTGACCGCAGCCGCTGCAGTGGTGGGGAGATCCCAGCCGCGTTCAAGCCATTCGCCGACACTCTGGCCCTCTGGTCTAAGGCCCTTATGAAAGACCCCACCGAGAACAAGTTCACTACACTCATGGGGGAGGGGTACCCGCGTTTCNGCGTCTTTCGCGAGCTGGCGCTGTGGACTTTTGGTCGTTCGCAGCATACGCTACCTGCACTGCTTCTGTGCGTTTTTGAATCAATTGAGGAGAGCCTTCCACGGAAGCTGCAGATGGGAGTGACCAAGTTCAACCTTGATGAATTCAAGCGGTCGTTGGAAGAGCTGCTGGGCGACGACGGCGTCATCATTGCGCCAACGTTTCCGCGCCCAGCACCGCGACATCACTCGCCGTTGATGTCGCCATTTGAGTTTCAGTACACCGCTGCCTTCAACGCGCTGCAGATGCCGGCAACCGCTGTTCCCATTTGGCCGGACGACCTGCGCGCCCGGCCCACGACGCTGACGCCTGAAGACGTGCGGGAGCGTGGAATGCCGGAGGATTACCACCTGCCGAAGGGTGTGCAGGTGGTGTCGCGGGAGCACAACGACGAGCTGAGCATCGGCGTTGCAGTTGCGCTCGAGCAGGCGCTGGGCGGCTACAAGTACCCCGGCTGGGCCGTGATGGAGCCGTAAAAGCGCATAGCAGCAGCAGCAGCAGCAGCAGCAGC